TAAGCAAAATAATAATAATAATAATAATAATGTCATTTTTATAAGACACACATCAGAGAGCTGCTTGTGGCCTAATGATATGTATACATTTCAAAAATAGAAAACTATAAATAAAGCTTGATATACGATTTAAGGAATATAATTATCTTTGATGGGGAATCATTGTATGAAGCTTTTAAGTTAAAATGAGAAAGAGAAAGTGGATGTTATGATTGGCATGTCTTGTCCTCGTTCTTCGTTTATAGTCTACTTTTTGACTTTTTTGTCATTTTCGTATTGCTTTTAAATTTATATTTGCCATCAATGTTTGTTTATGAGACTAATAAATGAATTATGGTACAAGTCCTGTACCATGAGATAAAGGCTAATGCTTGCTATATGCTATAAACAGTGCTAATTCAATTCAATTAGATTTATTCACCATTTGTTGAACAACATTGGAATTACAATTAGTATAGATACGATACTTTATTGTTATTATACACAAATAATGACGTATAAAATTGATTTACCTTAATAATAGTTTAAGTATAATACATAAACAGAAAAATATACAAATCATCACATAAATTTACAAAAATGTATACAGATTTATCATATACATATAGTTATGACTTAATCATCTATTAAGTAAAAATACATTAAATATTATGAGTTGAATTGTGTAAAATTGATTGTAGTAAAAAAAAGTCCTGGTCACGAATGTATAAATTCTGATTTAATTATGGTTTAATTAAACGAGTTGCCAATGAGAGAAATAGCGTTTCTATTATCCTTGTTATTTAATGCATCCCTCTCTTTGGGAATTGTTCCCGATGATGTTACAGTAGCCAAAATGGTACCAGTATATAAATGAAAAATCAGATTTATTTAAAAATTATACAGTAGGTCCATTTCAGTATAACCCTGTTTTTTGAAAATTTTAGAACGCATTGTCTACAATTGATCAAATGAGTTCTTGTTTAAAAACAATATAATCATAATTGTATTTATATTTATAACACTTATAATCACTCAAATCCATTTCGACCTGGCCAGTCATTTAGTTTACTCTTGTTCTTTTTATCTGCTTTGTTGCTTTTGATGTTTATTTATGATGTAATTTGTGCTTTTACTGTTTTTTTTTTTTGTTTTTTTTTTCAATGTTGGTTTTTTATTGTATCTTTTTACCCCTTTTAACATTTAATTTTTGCGATTAATTGATTTTATGTAAAAGATTATCACAATTCAATTATTCTGTGAAGATTATTTTATTAATAAATATACCACTATGAATGAATGAATGAAAAAAAAACAATATGGCTTTTGAACCAATCATCTGACATATGGCTGTGCTTGATTTGGTCAGTGTAAGTAATGCGATTGATAAATTTTTGAACACAATTCATGGATTTAACAAAAGCTTCAATACCATGGTGTATTGTTACATAAACAGTACCATTATGGTTTCAGAGGAGTACCTTATGAATGGTTCTCTAATTATCTTTCCAATAGCAAGCAATTTGTTTATTATAACTCTGTATAGTCTCCTATTCAAAGTGTTAGTTGTGGTGTCCCACAAGGGTCCATTTAGGGCCCATTACTCTTTATTCTTTACATGAATGATTTTCCACACATCAAAATTGCCAACTACAATTTTGTTTGCCGATGATACTACCGTTTTTTAATCGCATGATAATGTCTATACCATGTAACACATTTCTAAGTAATGAATAGAATTTTATTATCTCCGATGCTTACCTAATTTACTTTTATGGATTTTTCTCAACTCTATGATTTCATGCTTCTTTATTTTTGTGCTTTGTGGGTGTGAGTTTTTTCCTGTTCTTTTTTCTTAAATTTTTTATGTAAAGGTGGTACAACGATTTTGAAGCAATTTGCTTTTCGTTGTATCTCCTCCATCTGTTTCTCAATTTTTCATTATTCATCATAATGTGTTTATATTTGGTATTTTATGATGGAAATAAATAAATCGTAAATCGTACCGTATCATATATAATATATTACTTCTACAGAATGTCAGTTCATGTATTAAATGAACACAGTAGTGAATCTAGGAGATATGATATGGGCAGTGAATGTGAAGTGTGGTAATTGATGATTAGGTGAGAGGGCACAAGCTCGCAAACTAAGGTGATTTGAAGTGATTTTTAACAACTTGACCATGATTTTTTTTTTTGGGCAACTGGGAAGGGGGCATGTGAGTACTTTTTGGGGAGTGCCCCACGCATCCCCCAGGTACGCCACTGATTAAATTATCCAACAGAGTAGAATAATACAAACAAATAATAGAAGTTGAGTATACACAATTACCGTATATTGTTTAAACACTTTGCATTAAGTGTGTCCAGTTGATTAGTCGCTGTATAGTCCTACCAGTAGGAAAAATATTAAGAACCTATTGACAGGATCATATGATCACAAAGCCTTGAGTACTATCAATACAGTTAGTTGCACTGGCCTATATTCAGTAATTCTTTTTTATTGTAATTTGTAAATCAAATATACAAGAGGTTTCAATCAGTACAAGAAGATTAATTATGTAAAACAGTAGTAATAATAAAAAAATTATATCATTCAAAAAGTAGAGATGGTAATTAAGCACATGGAATTAAAGATATCCAGTTGACATTGCAATGGTTAACACCACAGTATTTGTACTGGTACTAGTACAAGTAGCCGTCTTCTACAGAGACTTTTACTTTTGCAGACAGACATGTCATTTACTGTACTTGTTTTATTGCTGAGAGAGATTTTAAAAAATTCAAAATTAGAAATGATAAAGTAAAAATATTACAATCCATCATAAATCCTGAAGGAAATATGCCAACAAATATTCTTCCAGGTGTGTACATATTGTATTCTGTTTAGAGTTCCTTGAAGCATGAACAGTATCGAACCAGCGCCGATGTAAAAACATAGGTTGCAGTGCCCCTGCCTTAACGCTTGACTATTCAACTCGCTCTTCGAAATAAAATATGAAAATAATTTTGTTTGTTGACACCCGTCAGAAGTCCCAAGACAATGTGTGCCAAGATATTTAGCTGAAATATTGATAGGATAAATTAGTAGACAATAATATGCAATAAATAATAGGATTATACACCATTATATCATTATTATTTTGAAACAGCGCCGCCAACATCTCACAACACAGTGGGGGACTTCCAGACTTCCAGCGGCCTAGCCTGAGCAGCTGGTTAGAGTTACAAATAGAGCATTGCGTAGTGATTGCGCCGCTAGACCTTTGCTATGGCAGCAGCAGACAACACTTGCGATCATGTTAATTACTGTATGTAAATATTAAAATAGCTTTTTAAGACTTGTTTTTTACTATAAACATTTCGTTCTCTTTCATTTTAAAATATTCGTGCAAAACAGATTTATGGCATTATTTGTTTGGATTGACAATATGCCAAAGTAAAAAAAGTTCCAGAGCTTGTAGCATCATGCATTTAATTTCATTTATAATTTGACCATCAAAATAGATACAGAGAATATGTAAACAATAATTTATAATAATAGTTGTTGTCAGGGACAGGTGAGGTAAAGTAATTACTGTAGTTATGGTTCACAAAGAATAAATTGTACATATTTTTTTGATACCTAAAATGTTGATGTTAAGTCATTTATCAAAACAAAAACAAAAATCTTAATGTTGGTCGATTGATATGCATTTGGTCATGAATAATCAATGTATTAATGATGCGTTAATATCGTAATGATGTGTGACCTATATAGCTTCTACTGTAATATATGGAAACGCTAGTAATTTTTTTTTCTTCTGCTGCTATGTACAGTAGATGTTTCGTATGTTAATCTTTTCGTCAGATATTTAAGATTCTAAATTATAGTATTTTGTATTTTTATTACCATGACTTATGTTATATTAGTTATGATAACTGTTATTCTCTTTGGTTCAACTATTTTACTGGTTTGTGGACCTCTTTGGAAATAGTTCAGGTATTTTATCATTCTTATTACAACAATTCCCATGGCCTCTGGACACTATTGGAAATAATTCAGGTATTTTATAAATGTATACAGTATATTCTCTTTAGTACAACAATTCACTTGGCCTCAGACCCCCTTATTTTATAACACGTAGGCTTAATGGGTCGTCTAGGTATTGAAAGAATTTTTCTTCCTTTTTATTTTAATGTATTTTTCATCTTTTTATAAAAATAAATGAAATTAAATAAATTTGTATTTTTAAGAAAGGAAAAAAGGAAGGAAATGGAAAGAGAGACAGATAAACATTTGTAATTTTAGAGCTTCTGTCCTGTGTGTTGGTATTTTATATTCCCTGATTATACTTTAGTTTTTAGTTAATCATCCACTTGTGTATTTTAAATCCATTAGCACTTATCCTCAAATATCAGATTCTGACATTTATTGATTTCCATACATAACAAAAATACTTTTCCATTCCATTCGATGTTTGTATTTCTAGATCAAGAGCCCATAACCTACATGGAAAGTATCTCAAGACACATATTTTGTTGTACATATGTGCACTGTTGAGGGAATAGCAAAATTTTAAAGTAATTTTAGATATGATTTGAATATTTATAACTACATTCTATACTTTTCCTTGGAGATTCAATGTTAATTAAACATTAAATCTTGTCTGTCAAACTAAAAGTATGTAAAGTATACAAATGGTTTAATTTATTGCTTTCATATGTAAATATGTACATTAATCCTAATAATGATGTCAGCACTCTTTTAAACATAATAGTTTTTTACTTAGATTAATTATATTAGATTTTAAAATATTCTGTATACAGTAAATATTGCTTTTATATGTAAAATACTTAGTTTATTAGATTAAGTATTACTGTATGAACATCTAAGCAATTGTATTTTGCATTGTAAATTATTGAAGGCTGTTTTTATGCTTAAAGTTAAATTTTCCATGGATCATTGAACAGCCCCATTTCAGAATGGAATAGTCCATATAGTGTGTCATTAAAGGAATTTTTGCTTTGCCTACTTAGACGCTGGCCCTGTTATTGAAAACATGAAAATGATATTACTCCATAAACCACAGAGTATGATGACACATGTGTAACATGGCACCACCAGGAAAGAAGAAGAGTGCCATCTAGAAAGATGACTAGCAGTTGTACGTCTGGTGACTTCTTAACCAACAGCTCCTGCATCCATGTGCCAACAAATTTGTTCAGTTGAATTCTGATTGATGGTTCTTCCATCCACCAAGAGGTACAAATCTAGGTTCGTAATCAACAAAATATGTGGAATAATTCCAAGTATTGTGTAAGTTTTACTTTTTATCTTTCTTTCAAAAATTAATTTTTTGTTTCAAATGCCTGAAATTACTGGTCCATGTACCTTCCCTCTTTGAAACAAATGGTTGTCTTCATTGCCCATTTTTTCAGAAGTATTTTTTTCTCATGAGAATAAATCTAGCCTACATAAATAGAAAAATTACATGAAAGTTACAAAAAAAAGTGTGCAGATGAAACTATGTGTAATCCACAGTGATATTTTGAGTTCATGTTAAAAATACACGAATTCCTCGCAAAATGTGCAAGGAAGCCTCACATTTATAAAATGTGTGAACCAATTTTTAAATGCACAAAGTATTTATATTTAGATCACATTCACATTCCTAATCACATTGGGAAGAGTATTATTATATTGTGCATAGATCCTATTTTTCAGTCTTAACTACTATATAGATTGTATTTATAAATGAACAGCGCAAAATATTGGCCATAAAAAGGGATGTGGCATTCTTTTTCAAAAGGAGAAGCTGCTGTTATTAGATGGGAAAACTTAATTAGTTTTCTGAGTTTGGTACTAAAATTCAAATCAATTAGTTCTTAATTGAGTTCACATCCTCTGAGGTGAGTTTGTATTCATTAATTCTTTATTAAGACAATTACAGTAACAATGAAGAACAAAATGATGAAATTAATAATGTACAAACCCTGAAAAAATTATATTGAAATCTTAAAGTATCAAATGCAAATTCAGTTAAATTATGCAGTATTGAACAATATTATCAGAATAATAGAATCAAAAACATTGCAAAACAATTATTTTTACATTCAAGCTAATTACAGATCCTACCACATTAAATGTTCTTGTTGTTTATTAAAATGTAATAAATGTAAATTAATACATTTTACTTTCTTCTGCTAAAGAAAATTAAATCTAGAACTGTTCTTTCAAAGAAAATGGATTCTCAAAGAACCGTTCTTCGGCATGGAATTAATTAATTAATCCTATGTCCAGCAGCCAGTGAGCAATTTCTAGTGGCGTGGTTTTTAGTCCTTATTAAACCCATAGTTGCTTACAGATTCACAACCAATTAGTCAATGTGCAGTCAATTACTGTCCCTAGCTATAATGTTGTAAAAGGCCAAACTGCTAATCTAAGCCAATGAGAATGCGTGTTAAAAGAGCAAAGGGGGACCAGACGCAAATTGAAAATAAATCAATCAAATCAATCACTTTAGTATTTCCGAATTGATGATTCAAAATAAACAAGTGTGGCTTAAATAAACCATAGACCTACGAAGATGAACTATTAATTGTTTTATTTATTTTTATTTTATTTATTCGGTATAAAAAAAACATGAAATTACAAACAGCAGCCAAGGCCGAAATGGTTAGTATTACAATTTGAAAAGACATACAAAAACATTCAATGAAAAAATACATCAATATAAATATAAAAAATCTATATAAAAATATGATTATTATTGCAACAATTATTAAAAATATAAAAATACATCAAAATTTATAATCTATCTATATAAAAAAATAATAACGATAATTACTGTGACAATTAAATAAAATTCTTCAAAATCATCAAATTGAGAAAAGAAAAAAGGAGGAAAACACAAAAAGACACACAGTCAATACTCGACAAAAAAGCAAAATTGAAACAAATAGAAATTTAAGTAAAAAGAAAAACAACATCAAAATTGAGTGATTACAATGGATCTGATACAAATCTGCATAAAAATCTATCAAGGAAATTATGAAGGGATAAGTGGAAATGCCTACAGCCCTGGTTCTTAATTAATTTAAATTTAAAGGGCCAAATTATTTTTAGAGTTGATCACATGGACCAAAAATAGTCTTTGAGTTGCAAGCAACTTGTACTTTATGGACCTAAGGTGAAACTCTGAGATGCTGTGGCCGAAGACCCCCCCTTCCCCTTTCAGCAATTTTAAATTCTATGTAGATTCTATTTTTAATTGTACTATTGCACAATATTGAAACTAAATTCATTACAATTATTGCATCATAAGATTTATTTAATATTTTGCCAAAAGACACTTCATTTAACATTTCTTGCCTTATGATCTCTTATTAATTGCTTGTGTAAAATCATCACAAAACAAATTTGGTAACGGCAATGGAAGGTGATGTCCCACAACCTTTGAAGGAGGTCCAGGGGGCAAAGTCCCCGGAAGCTCTAGCAATTTCGTGATTTTGAATGCTTAAGGCTAGTAATCGATCTTACAGCCTCATATTCTGTAAAACTTGCATATGATATTTTTTTCCCTAAGGAATGAGTTGAGTTCTCCTTCAACCTCTCTCTAGCAGTGGTACTGCCTCCATAACTGGCACTACCAAATAGTTTAGGGTTTTAAGTAGCATGATAACTGGTAAAGTACCACATTCAAAACATCCTTGAATAATTGCATAGGCCCAATAATAAACATGCTTTACGGATTATAAAGAAAAAAATAAAGCATATTTTCAGCCGTTGCATACAGTAGTTTGCAGGCCTGTAGGTAGGATTTGCAATTGGGAGGGGGCTATGCTTGCGATGGGAAGGAACTATGTTTCCGATCAAAGCGAGTCTTACGCTGACGCTCATTAAGGCCCCTGTTTTGTTGTGAAGCCTGTAAGTAGCGAAGCCGTATTTAATGGATTTCTGAAACCTATAATTTGTGAATTTTCTATTTAAATTTCCAGTCATTTAGGTGTTCTTCGGCCCTGGTATTCAAACTGTGGGTCGCGGCCAAAGATAGTGTGGCCAAGATATTTTGCGGGGTCGCCGGACGTTTATTGTTGCCGGTGACTAGTAAAATAGAACTTGTCATGTCTTCCTTTCTTTGTGCAAGTGTAACTGTATGTGAAGTATCATTTCCTGAATTGGGCTCTTTTTCCACAAAGTAAAACTAAATATTTTTCTTCTAACATATTGACCTTGATTCTTATGTGTGCTTCTCATGGAGGACCTCCACGTTTTGGCAGGTAAAGTTTAAAATGAATTCCATTAGAAGGTGTAGAAAAATCCTATAATTTGTAAACACTCTCCTTTCTTACACCTTTTCCTGGCCTTTTAATAAACCATGTTGTTGGACAAGGAAAGTGGCGTAGGAACTGAGCAGCAGTTATAACAAAATTGAAGTGGACAGCTTCTAAATTGATTATACTTTCACAAACAAATACTGGAGGCTGATGAAAACACAATTTGATAGATTGAAATCAAATCCTGCATTGAACTATATTTAAAAGCATATATATATATTCAGAGTACAGTAGCATTTAATTCAATTATGATAAGATTTGTTGTAATGATTTCTTTATCCGTATTTTCATTCTGGGTGTAAGTAGTCCTTCAGTGTGTGCTTTGTGACATATTAAAACTATTCATTATGGCAAAACATACAATCTTTAAATTTCTCAAAGCATGTATTAAGTTTATTTAAATTACTGTGTTTTTTAAATTGATAATTTAAAGTAGCTAAATGCTTATAATTTAATATTATGTATATATTTTTTTAACTATGACAGTTATTAGGTGATGTTGATTGAAGATACAGGATACATCAATATACTATCTCAAAGTTTTTAAATAATATTGTAAGTTTCATTTATCATATTGTGTTTGGTACAGCCATTTGGTTTGACATACTGAAATTTCACACATTTGAATCCCATGCTCACTATCAGCATATTCTTGGTCAATGCACTTCATCTAAATTTATGTCCTCACACTCCATAGTTGGAAATGTGTAGGCCTACATAATAAAATGTGATTCTTCAATATGTTGAACATAGAAATGTGTCAATGCTGAATACTAATGCACTAGTAGAATAGTCCCCAGTGAGTGACGAGGTTGCATATACAGTATGTGTAAGAAGAGATAGTTTCCCATTGTCAGTACGATATTGTATATGTCTAATTGAAAGTAGTGTGTCTAAAATTTTTGTTTCAAATTTTAATTTTTTGCTTCACAATACATGCTTTATTTGATTAATTTGAGAAATAAATTTAAACTAGTTTGTTGGCATATTTTTCTTTAATAAAATTTTCCTATTTTGTCTTTGCAAAAACATTGAATACACATTTGTATAAATTAAGGGACATTAATGAAAAGTATCCCAGAGGCATCTGCAATACAATGACTTAAATTTGCATTATCTTCTTTTTTTGCAATATACAGTAGGATACTACTAAAACTTACTCCATGTAAAATGATCCCATACAGTAGCCAATTAAAAAAAATAGTGCAATAAGCCTGCGGCTTATTCCTAAACAACTTTGCTCTGATAATATTGTCTTCTTGCCTACATTATTTTATTCTGTGCACAAAATATGTTTCCTGTTGATGCATTTAGTATCTTTGTCCTTCTTGAAAAAACTCCTCTTCTATCAACATTTGAATTCCTCCTCTGTTAAAAAAAACATGGTTGTTATTATTTACATTGGATGATGAAGTCTTCCACTGGTATTACATTGTGTTACCATGGTTTAGCAAATTTACTTGTGTTTTATGAGAGGCATCAAGGTGGCATTCTGCAATTAAGAACACATCTATAAGGATGAAAAAATGAAAATGAATAAATATCTTTCTTTGGAACGAGGAAGGACATTTTTATAGTTAATTCCTAGAAATGGTAAAACACTTAATACAAGCTTCAGGCAAAAACCTGAAGGAACTGTAGGTTAGGGTTGTGATGATTCATGTTAGTAGTAAGTCTACCAATTGTCAGTAGGAGGAATGTGAAGTTGGTTCATTTGATTTGTTGCATACTATAAAAGTAAGAGTAAGAGGAAGGTGATGGAGTGGAAATATAAAATGGGTGAGCATGTATTTATTGCAGGTACAGTACAGTATTATCATGTATGTAGAGGATAAGTCTACACTAAGACTGGTAAAGTCTATACCAGTGATGTATATATGGGGGATCATGACCCCCCTAAACGAAGATGGCCTCTCACCTACCCCCTAGGTGCTAGTACAGTAGTTTAATATCACCTTGTACTACATTTTTCTCGAACTAGCTCTTCCTCACTTATCCCAACTTATCCTTCATTTTTTCCCTCCTATGGGCCTCTGTCCCATATCAATACACCTAGATAGAAATTCCACTGGTCTGTACCAATCCCATGAATGGAAACCTCAGGATATGTACATTTTGTCATTATGGCATTAACTGTATGTATGCAGCATGTACTGTATGCAAATACTGTTTGCCATCCTTTTTTTGCATCAGACAATACCATTTATGAAATTAGAATAACCAATATATTAATCTGCCTGAATCACAAATTAGCTTCATTGTAACATACCGAGACCATGTTTACACTATAAAAAGTTGTAACTTCATTAGGACTTCAAATTCAATTTCAACAGACAATTTGAATTATTAATTAATTTGTGCCTGGGGTATTTACTGGCTATTAGAATTTGTCTTTGGATTATTAATTCATTTACAACTATTTGCGAACTCAACCGATGCTACCAGCAAGAATAGTGTAGCCATAGCGAAATAAATGACTCAAATTAATCTGGCTTACTTTATTGTGGAATTACAATGGTAACTCCTATTGTGTTTTATTTAATGAAGTTAGGGAGCATAATTTTGTTATGATTTTTAAATTGAAATAAAGCACTAATCAAACTATGTTCAGGAAAGAGCAAATAGGCTAAATATTGATACAATGTAGTGTAGATAAGCTATACTGTATGTTGCTTAAAGGCAGAGTCTGCTTAATTAATCCATGTGTAAGGTTATTTTTGACTTCCATTAATACTTAATTACCATGTCCAATTTTCCAAAAAAAAAATAAAATAAAATAATTATGTCCAAATATGAAAATACTTGTTGTATTTGACATTTTAACTTTACATTCCACATTATACAATCCGTTGTTTTTAATCTTCATGTTGTCTTGTATAATGACTGCCTTGTTTAGGATTAGGTATGCTTTTACTGAACAAAAGTCACCATTAATAAATTCCTTATGATTAATGCTAGGTCAAGCTAAATATATTTGAAAACATTCAAAACTGCCACCTTAAGATATTTCACATTTTCATAAATCATTTTCATCCTGCTGGGAATCACATCATCATACAACCATGAAGAACTTGCGTACTGCAAATATTTATATTCTAAAAGCAATTTAATTCATAAGTGCACTTATTAATTTGTGTCTTTTATTAATAGCCATTACAATTACTTATAAACCAATCAATGATAATGTATTAAAATGATGATTGCAAATTAATTCTCAAGGCTCTATCAAACCCTACCTTCAAACGGCCGTGTATGAGCAGGCTTTTCTGAAGTGTATTTAACTCTGTTAATCAATGAAAACAGATTTGTTTCAAACTGTATTTCATTGAAGTTAATTAATGGGATATTCTTCCCTTGGATTTTAGACAACTAGCTTCTTTCTTTCAATGCTTTTAAGTCTTCCATTTTCCATAGCAGTGGTGGTGCCACGGGGAGTTGGGGGGGCTACAGTCCCCACCGTCGGGGAGGCCTTGCCACCTTTATTGTTGTTTGTGTTAATTTTTTTCAGAATTAACATTTATCAGAATAACATATTAACTGCTTGTGTTTTTTTTTTTTAAATGGTTGGTGAATCTCATTGGGAATATGAGTTAATTTTCTCCTTGACCTACCATCTCCAGATATATGTTGGATTAAAATAATAAATAAACAAATACTGTAAATATTTTTTCGAATATTATGTTAGACTAATTTTGTTTTTTATTATATTAAGTTTTTATCACAGTATTTCTGTAATATAGAAACATTAATAATGAAATACATAATAGTTTATGCACTATTGCATTTCCATGAGCAATATTTTCAATTGTTATATATTTAATAAGTTATTAATTACATATATTCACATCAGTTTTTTAATTTGTGGAACTGCTTGTTTTTGGTAATTATCAGTTTTAATATCCATCACAGATGGAGTTAATTAGTGAATGCAGGGTCGTTAGTGGAGATCATCATACCAACCTAGATGGTAAATAGACCATGAATGATTTCCTTTCTTGTCATATCACTGATCTGTTGATGTAGTTGAACTCATTAGGAATAGTGGACGAGGCCAGGCAAATACAGTTCAACTGAAAAATATGTATAATCCCAGATCCTATGTATTAATCCTAATGTACTTAAAAAGGCTAAATGCAATGTGTCCTGATGGAAAACAGTTTTAACAGTTCAGTCAAGTTGACATTTCGGTTATGTTCTGGATGCATGGATATCAATTTTGTCCCAAGTTCAACACTTTACTTTGTGTAGCAATGTAATTTAAATATTGCTGTTCCGTGAAGGAAAGAGCATTTAAATGTTGTTCACTTTCAGTTTGGCGGCTAATCCCCTCGGAATCAACGGAAAGCTTTTCTATATTCAGGTGCAATATTTCTACAGGTATACAATTATTATTTAATCATCTGATGATACAGATCATTTACAGGTTATTTCCTACCTTTACCTTTATATTCGCAGCACTACGGTGCACCCTGGAAACCGATTCATATGAAAAAAAATCAACCTCCATCCATAGCTTTGTTTACAAATCACTTTAGATGCACCTTTTATACCAATACGATGAAATGCTACTGATACTACAAACTCTAGTCATCTATATGACACTATATAAATCTACCTTATTATGCTGCACATATATTTTTAGCATATTGGAGATTTGATTGTGAACTTACTTGCAGCAAAATTAATATATTAATCACTACTGTTATATTTAATTAAATTAAATTTAATTTAAATTTTAGAAATTGACTAATAAAAAAAATGCAAGTTCTTCAAGTAAATAGTAATTTACTGCAACCCTTGGGCACTCACCCAAGGTCACATCATTATGCTATACTAAGAATGTGATTTGACAGTTCAATAATTGGACTAATAGATACTTTATTTTAATTAATTTTGAGGGGAAAAGATTGGATTTGTTGTATCTTACAATATCGTAGTGGCAGCCGGTGGCTTAAAATTAAAGAACTTTTTTCAAAAAACTTTTAGTTTTTCATAGGGGCTAGTGCTGTCAAGCCAAATATATAAAATTTTGCTTACACTAATCAAAATAACAATCACAGGCTTCTGACACGTTCACAAAAAATGTTATGTGAAGCAGCTTAGAATGTGAAAAAATAGAAATGTGTAGCCTAAAATATAAGAAAAAATATTAGCAATATATATTTTTTTATAATAATTATTATTTTACTATAATATCAATATTTTGTGGTTTTTATTGATGATTATTTAAGACATTTAATGGATTTCAGTCAATACCATATTAGTACTGTGTTTGTGTCATACCCCATCGGGGGAAAAGACACTATGTTATGATCTGGCAGTTAAAAATGGCGGAAGGGGTAAATCCTGTGGAGGTGCGTGATGGGTCATGTGTCATATTAATTACCTTATTACTATAGAAAAGTCATAAAAAAATACACCACACATTTCCTGATAACCGAATTGCATGTGGATACTTTATTAGTATACATAGACACACCCTCCTGCTGGGAGCCTATTTTTATATTTAGACCAAAAATACTAATAATAGTATTCTTGAGCTAAATATTGTTTGA